AGGAGGAGGAGGAGGAGGAGGAGGAGGAGGAGGGAGGAGGAGGGAGGAGGGAGGAGGGGAGGCCTTTCGAGCCGTTCGAAGCCGCCCGCCACGCGGAGCGGAGCGGCAGGCTGTCCGCTCGCAGAGCACAGCGTGTGGCCAGGGCCGTCGCCGCGACCCCCGCAGCAGAAAATTCTGGCCGTAGGGGGGGGCCAGCGCTCCCCCCCCTGAGATCCTGGCGACTCAATTTTTTCGAGCCGGGCGTTTTCGCATTTTTTTCGGGTCCCAGGACCCTCACATATCGATTCTGCTCGAAGAATGAGGCAGAAAGATGGGGTCCGGGGCTCCGGGCGCGGATTTTCACGATGTTGCATTTTTTTCGCTACGTCGGATCTCAGGGCCTTGTGCCAGCCTCGGCAGTATCCTCAGGCCAGGCATCGTCATCACCCGAGTGCCCACCCTGCTCGCTGCGGGGCGGCTCCGAGCCACGCCCAGCGATGCCGCGTCTGGCGTCTCGCGCAGCGCGCCTCCTCCTCTTCCTCCTCTTCCTCCTCCTCCTCCTCCTCCCCCTCCTCCTCCTCCGCTTCCTCCTCCTCCTCCTCCTCCTCTTCCTCCTCCTCCTCCTCCTGAAGGGGGACACTGGTTGAGACACGCTGAGAGGGTACAACAACTGTCGCAGAGGCGTCCAGAGGCGGTGGTTGAATGACAATGTCAAACACTACCATTATGCTACGGAGGGGGGAAGTTCGGAGTTCGGAGCGTCCATTCTTGACTCAATTGATTCTGGCCGAAGCTTGGAGAGCCATGCTGCAGCACTCCGTCACGGTGATGCCGGTCCTGAAGAAAGCGTTTGAAATATGGTTCATGCTACACTTTGGGCGATCTGTTGCAGTTATGGGTGTCCAAAGGAAAGGTTGGCCATGCTGGTCATGACACATGCTGGACGGAGGAACCTAAAGTTTGGGAAGGCTCGTCAGTACAAGTCAAGGTGTTACCGCAGGCTGTTTGACGCGACGGCGATGATAATTTTGTTCAGGTGGGCTGCATACGATCAAGTGTACACTCTCTTGGCCCCCGCTTACGATATCGGTGGTCGTGGGTGATGGCAGTCTGCAAGCAGCGGGCACCGAAAGGAGGAAAAGAGGCGATCAGGATCATTGCACCTGCGGTCAGGAAGCCTTGCAAGCTTCTTGTGCAACTGGGCTTGGACTTGAGCCCGAACAGGGGGCACGCTATTGCGACGTCACCAAAGATGGCCAGGGAGGTGGAGCTTAACCTCAGCATATTCCAGTTCAGACGTGTTCGAGTGGTACGGCGGCTTGGGTATGACAGGCACAGGCGCATGGGAGGAGGTGGACACATCCCCAGGCAGAGGGTGAGAGTTAGCTCTGTTGGACGACGATAGGCACGTTTCAGGCGCCTTGCTCAAGGTGGACGGCAGACGGGAATGCTGTTCAGGTCTGGTGGGCTAGTTTCAGTGGCTTGCACTACCAAGGTGCAGGGCATGAGCGACGTGCAGAAAGTTGGAGCTTTGCCCGGGCAAGCGCAGCTTGGATCAGCCAGAGGAAGAAGTCTCACTATGGAGTTTCTTCGATCGCACTGTCCAAGATCTGATCCCACTTTCATCGCAGATGAGTGCCCGTTGGCCTATTGGGTCAAAGCCAAGTCTTGAACCGTGGGTCAAACCAAGCGCGATAGTCCTGGCATTCATGCGCGCGCAGAACCACACCAAGTCTTGGCAATCTGTTGACGGCCCAGCGGGAGCCGTACCCATGACGTGCTGGCGAGCAAAGAGCTGGTTTGTGTGCTACAGAGAGAGAGAGAGGCTCAAGAGTAGACTTAGACGGCATCGGTGTAGGCACGCCGAGGAAGCGAGTCAACGTCTCGACCAAACGGCGGCTTCTTGAAGGCATTCCAGGTATCAGAAGCATGGGACAACTGACTGGACCGCCTCTTGTTGTAGCCTGCGATCAAGGAGATCTAGTTGTTGCGTAAAACACGTGGTTGGAAAGGAGCTGGCTCGTTGGGAACGTGGCTGGCTGATGGGTTCTTCAATCAAGTCAGGTTGCATGGAGTCAGGGCGGCAGGTTTACCGACATGCGCAATATGTGGGGCCGAAAAAACACCCATCTCCACAGGTGATTTCGATGTGACTGGCACTTGACGGAGAGGCAGGATTGGAATGGCTACGAGAGGAAGTTGCTCCTGTGGGGGCGAGATGACTATGGGCAGGACCATCCTTGCACGATGATGCTATGCAGAATGGCTGCTCCCAGATCCGTTTCATCACCTGCCATGTGCTGCGCAGCCTCGCATGACTCGCTGGCACGTGTGTGCCGTCTCTGGTCTTGTCAGTTGCGTGGTTTGTGTGGATGGCAGCTGTATCTTTGCACGCCGCGACATGTGAGCCAGAGGGGCGGGGCCTTCTGCGTGCTCGACGGCGTTGGCAGCGCGGTTGCAGCAGCCTCAGGTACAGTACGCTTCTCCTGGCAAGCTTCGGGAGCAGAAGAGATGTATGCGGTCAGGTGAGCAATTCTTCACACATCTCATGGAGAGCTGCATCTGGTCACATACGTCCAGGAGTTTTACCCTGGCGTGCAAGCCGTGTTCTGTCCCAGAAGACATTCAGTCTGATCACCAGTATCCAGAACTGTGGTGGGAAGCGGTCGAGGGTGTTGGAGCTGGTCGAATGACGTCGTACGAGTCCCGTCCCGCTTGTCCCAGTCGCGGGCTCTTGAGGGGAGTATCCCGCTGGCCCACTGGCACGGAAACGCGCGGGTCGAGTACTGCGCGAAGCGCGGAGCTGCCATGCATCTGCGTGGCGTACCTCGGGAACGAGCTCGCCAGGCGCGCGAGGCAGCGCCGCCTCTGACCACCGAGGACGGGGCTGAGGAGCCTGCGCCGCTGCTCGACAGGAAGGTGGGCAGATGTCGAGCAGAAGGACTAGATTCACCACCCACCAAACCACTCCAACCCAACCCGAAGGCCCAAACTTATCCTCGATTTCCAGTGGGGGGGGGGGTCGGGGAACGTTGAACAAAACACATGGTGTCCGTACCCCCCCCCAACCCGAAAGTCGGGTCAACTTCGGGTCTTCGGGTTGGGTTGGGGTGGTCTGGTAGGCAGTCATAGAGGACTAGCTTGAAAGGCCAATCACTTTGACGGGCGACAGAGTGCATCTCGTGCGTATGTTCAGAAGGCAGTTGGGCCGACGCGAGGTGTGAGGAGACCAAGCGCCCGAAGGTGCGACCTCGTGAGTCGGAGCTGCGGAGGGCCTCCATAAAAAAAGGGTCCAAGCGGCCACTGGCGCTGGAAAAAGGGCCCGACGGTTTGGTGTGAAGATTGTGGAGCTCGATGGGTCTCGCTCATGTCGTCCAAGCCGTGCGTCGGTAGACCTCCCTTGGGGTTGTCCGAGGCTTTTCTAGAGGGAATAGTTTGTCCAGGGAAAGGACCTGTCTGGCCAGAGCGGGGAAGGATTTCACAGGCCTGTCCCTATCACCTCACGCAGCTGATTCGGTGAATGAGCGCCTATGGACTCTCGCGTTTTTGGCCTGGTGCCTGGTTTTCGGAACCCCTTGTCGCCATCGGAAGTCTTGGAAGCCTCCTCCTCCTCCTCCTCGAATGCTCTTCCTTATGACTACATAATTCCACCCTGTCACCACCGGACGTGTCCCCCAGGCCTGGCCGGGCGTTTCGCGGGAGACCTCCAGTCGATCTGCCTTACGTCAAACTCCAGCAGTTACAGGGATGGAGGGCCCGTGGTCTCCCGCGTGCCAGTGGCGCCGCCGCGCTCCCCACATTCGTTTACATTGTTTCCAAGAGTGTCAAGGACTCCCGCCGGCTCGTTTTCAAGATGCGGTTCTCGTCGTGGCACCGCAGGCATTCGTTGGGCGACATTCCTGTGGGAGGCCGTCTCGGTCTCAAGAGGCGACTCTCGCGTCAGGTGTCTTCCATGCGTGGCCCATGGCCCGAAGTTCCGCTGCGCACGGCACGTGCGCTGGCTGACGGCGGCCCCTTTCAACATGCAGGGGGCCAGATGCGAACCCTACCCCACCCTCCCCCTCAGAAATCGTGGGGGGCAGGGGTGGGGTTCGCATCTGGCCCCCTGACATGGACCTCCAGTCTGAGACTCCCTAACGTCTGATGCACAGAGCTTTCAGAGGGTGCAGCGCCGCCGCGTGTGGAGGGCAGAGCCCTGCCGAAGCGGGGCCCCCGCCGCAACACAAGAGAAAGAGCGGGGCCCCCGCCGGACGTGCCCTCGACGCCCCGCCGCGCGCTGCCTCCGGGCAGTTCTCCCTGGCGGGCGGCATGGACCCAGACCCCCGACGTAATGCATTTTTCGTCACGTCGACCCCAGAGTTCTCGACCCCTTCCCCCCCAGACCCCCTCGAGTAATGAAAAAATCATGACGGGAGGTTTTTCGCCATTTTCGGCCTCTGGGGGCCCTCGCCGGGCCTCGGGAGCGCCAAAAAACGCCTCAGGATGACAAACCGGTCCTGGGCAACGGGTCGAGAACTCTAGGGTCGACGTAATGAAAAATTCATTACGTCGGGGGTCTGGGCCTGGACCGATTTGTCATCCTGAGTCGTTTTTGGACTCTCCCGAGGCCCGGCGAGGGCCCCCAGAGGCCGAAAACGGCGAAAGCCTCCCGTCATGATTTGTTCTTTCCTCGAGGGGGTCTGGGGATGGACGCCTCCCTCGCGGAGCGCGGCCTCGCCCGAGGGACAGGCCCGGGGGGCGCTGGCCGCTCCAAGCGGGGCGCCAGCCGCAGCGGACGGGCGCTCGCGCAGGGTCCCGTGAGGGCGGGGCGTTTCGCAGCCTGGCGCCGGGCGCTTCGCGGCCTGGCCTTACGGCATCCTGGGGCTACTCTGGACTCTGGCCCTCCCTCCCTCCCTCGCCCTCCCTCAGCCCTCGCCCTCCCTCGCCCTCCCTCAGCCCTCCCTCCCCCCTCCCTCCCCCCTCCCTCGTCGTCCCCCTTCCCGCGCGCGCGCGCGCCGCCGTGCGCGCGCGGCGGGCGAAGCCAAGAGGCACGGCACGGGCACCTTCACGTTCCCGAACGGCGCCAAGTACGAAGGGCAATGGTCGACCGACCGGCGGCACGGCCTCGGCAAGTGCGTGTACACGGACTCCGGCTCGTACGAAGGGGAGTGGGAGGACGACAAGATGCACGGCAGGTGAGGGCAGCACAACCCACCCACCCCCCCAGCCAGGACCCCCAGTCCCGACATCGGAGTCCAGGGGTCCTGGCTGGGCATGAGGGTGGTCTCTTGGCCCCCGAGAGCCTTCCAACAACACCCCCATCCCCAGCCAGGATCCCCTGGATCACCAGGTCGGGAGTGGAGGTCCTGGCTGTGGGTGGGGGTGGGTCAAGAGGGAAAAACACACAGACACAAATAATCGTCGATTCCCGGAAAATATGGAAAATATTGGAAGTGCACGGAGAAGACGAAAGTCAAGAAAGTTTGAAAATATTGAGAATCCTGAGATCTATTTATTTGTGGTCCCATTCAGTGGGTTGCGCTGCCCTCGGCAGGGGCTTGTATTGCTACCCGAGCGGCGCCTTGTACGACGGCGAGTGGGCGGACGACATGAAGCACGGCATGGGCAGGTACGACTACCCAGACGGCGCCTCGTATCACGGGGAGTGGGTGGACGACAAGAAGCACGGGAACGGCTCGTGCACCTACACCGACGGCGGCTCGTACGACGGGCAGTGGGCGAAGGGCAGGATGCACGGCCAAGGCACGTACAAGTACCCAGACGGCACCTCGTACTGCGGTACGTTTGCGGAGGACAAGAAGCACGGCCAGGGCACGTACACATACCTGGACGGCGCCTCTTACGACGGGGAGCTCGGCGGTTGCCAAAGGTGTTCCAGTCGTCCCCGGCTTCTCGCGCCGTTCTGGGGGGGCCTCGTGCGGGATGCGCTGGAAGCCGTGGCGGCCTCTGCGGGAGTCCGGGGGGGGGGGGCACCTTGGGCCAGGGACACCTTGGGGCAACGCGCGAGGAGTGGGCGAGAGGATGGAAGCACGGCCGGGGCAAGTGGACGCACGGGAATGGCGCCTCGTACGAGGGGGAGTGGGCGGACGACCAGAAGCACGGCCAAGGTCTAGACTGCAGCCCCGACGGCAGCTCGTACGACGGGCGGTGGGACCACGGCAGCGTTCACGGCCAGGGCAAGCACGCCTCTCAGCTGCCCCGATACGCCCCTGCTAAAAACGCAGCACGCACCGTGTTCAGAACGTCCGTGCTCACCTGCTGCGTGTTGGCTCGGCACGTGTTGGTCCACGTTGTGGCGCCCGCGTCGCGTCAGATGTGCGGCTTCAGTCTACGTGTTGAGGTCCTTGTCCACCCGCTGCGTGCTGCGTGTTGCGTACTCGGGGCAGCCGAGGTACGCTTACCCGAGAGGCGGCAAGTACGACGGGGAAATGGTGAAGGGCCAAAGGCACGGCCACGGCAAGTACATCTTCCCAGACGGCGCCAGCTACGAGGGGGAGCCCCGGCAGAGGGAAGGCAATCGCCACCACCAGGCATCCACAGGTCCACCTCGTGCCAGCCCCTGGTCCTTGGCATCGCTGGGCCGTGCGCATGCTTCTCCTCGGCGGGGAGCATCGAGGAACATCTCGGATCGTCGTGCGGACAAATGAGCGCACGAAGCCGAAGCATGCACGGGGGGACCCACGCCCGAGCCATGGCGAGGGCCCCGACGGCCTTCTGGACACGCTAAGGGGCCTGGGCCCAGAGTGGACTCTCTGTGGCTCGAAGAAGAGCCCAGAGCGCATAAGCATCAGCTTTCGGAGCTCCGCGCGGATCTCCGGGACTGGCGCTGGACACGCCCTTCCCAGGCGCGAGGGGGCGCGCCATGGGCGGCGCCGCAGGTGCCGCCTGGGGCACCCGGCGCCGATCCGAGGAAGCAGCGCGGGCCACCGGGAGCTGCTGCTTCTGCAGCGCTCTGCCCTCCCGGAGGAGGGGCCTGGCGGGGGTGGTGAGCGCCTCCGCCTCTCCCCCAGGAGTGGGCGGAAGACATGAGGCACGGCCTGGACCTCCTCCACCAAACCCAGGAGGGGAGAAACGCACAGACACAGTTCATCGTCGATCCCCGGGGAAAAAAATATGGGCAAACACATGGGAAGTGGGGGGGGGGAGACGAACACCCAGGAAATAGGGGGAACTATGGGGATTCCTGTGATTGAGGAGGAGAGAGGAGGAGGAGGAGGAGGAGGAGGAGGAGGAGGAGGAGGAGGAGGAGGAGGAGGGAGGAGGAGGAGGAGGAGGAGGGAGGAGAAGAAGGAGGAGGAGGAGGAGGAGGAGGAGGAGAGGAGGAGGAGGAGGAGGAGGAGGAGGAGGAGGAGTTGTGTGTCCCAGGGCCCCTTCACAAGCGTCCGCCCGGGGGTCGGCCCCCTGGCCCCCTCCAGGGGCCTGCCGTGCCGCGATCGGCGGGCAGCGGGAGGCCGCGTGCGCGCGGCAGCCAGCATTTGTGGGAGCCATGCGGTGATTTGCGCGTCTGCGCGCGCCCACGCGCAGATACGCACGTGTGTGTGTGTATGCATGCGTGCATCTATGTGTGTATATGTGTACGTCTGTATGTATGTATGTACGTACGTATGTATGTATGTATGTATGTATGTATGTCTGTACGTATGTATGTATGTATGTATGTATGTATGTATGTATGTATGTATGTAAGATGTATGTATGTAAGTCTGTCTGTCTGTCGGTCTGTCTGCCTGTCTGTCTGTGTGAGTGTATGTATGTATGTTTGTATGTATGTTTGTATGTGTGTATGACTGCATGCCTGTGTGCATCTATGTATGTGTGTGTCTGTATGTGTGTACGTATGTGTGTATGTATGCCTGTGTGCATGTATGCGCGCGTATGTATGACTGCAATGTGTGTCCGTATCGATATATATATATATATGCGTGTATGTACGTATGTATGTCTGTCTGTCTGTATGTATGTATTCATGTATGTATGTATGTATGTATGTGTGCATGTGTGTATGTATGCATGTGTGTCGGTATGCCGGTATGTATGTGTGTATGTATGTATGTGTGCATGTATGCCTGTATGTATGTGTGTATGCATATGTGTATGTCCGTATGTCTGTATGCATGTCTGTATGTATGTGTGTATGCATGCATGTATGTATGTATGTATGCCTGCATGTATGTATGGATGTATGTCTGTATGTATGTGTGTATGTATGTACGTATGTATGTGTACATGTCCGCGTGTATGTATGTGTGAGTGTCTGTATGTATGTATGTAGGTAGGTAGGTATGCATGTATGTATGTATGCATGTATGTTTGTGTGTCTGTGTATGCGTGTGTATGTCTGCATTTCTGTATGCATGAACGTATGTAATTATGTGTTGTGTGTACGCATGTGTGTAGGTATGTGTGTACGTGTGTATGAGTGTGTGTGTTTATGTGTGTGTATGTGTGTATGTATGTATGTATGTACGTACGAATGTGTGTGTATGTATGTCTGTATGTATGTATGTAGGTGTGTATGTATGTATGTATGCATGTATGTACGTATGCATGTCTGCCTGTATGTATGTATGTATGTATGTATGTATGCATGCTTGTACCTACGTGTGTATGCATATGTGTACATTTGTGTGTACGTATGTATGTATCGATGTATGTATGTATGTAGGTATGGGTGTATGTATGTATGCATGTATTCCTGTTTGTGTGTATGCATGAATGCCTGCCTGTCTGTCTGCCTGTCTGTCTGTCTGTGTGTATGTATGTATGTTTGTATGGATGTATGTATATATGTATGTATGTATGTCTGTATGCATGCATGCATGCATGTATGTATGTGTATGTGTATGTGTATGTGTATGTGTATGTGCATGCGTATGCGTATGTGTATGTGTATGTGTATGTGTATGTGTATGTGTATGTGTATGTGTATGTGTATGTGTATGTACGTATGTACGTATGTACGTATGTACGTATGTACGTATGTACGTATGTACGTACGTACGTACGTACGTATGTATGTATGTATGTATGTATGAATGTATGTATGTATGTATGTATGCATGCATGTATGTATGTATGTATGTATGTATGTATGTGTGTGTGTATGTATGTATGTATGTATGTATGTATGTATGTATGTATGTATGTATGTATGTATGTATGTATGTATGCATGCATGTATGTATGTATGTATGTATGTATGTATGTATGTATGTATGTATATATGTATGTATGTATGTATGTATGTATGTATGTATGTATGTATGTATGTATGTATGTAACTTTGTATGTGCACACATCGAGATCGATGACATACCGCGTATGCACATCTGACCTAGTGGCCTTCGGCCCGTTTGGTCACCGCGCCAGGTCAGATGCCTCTCGGATACCTGGGGTAGCCCTTTGCGAGGCCTCTCGGACGGCTCCTGGAGGCAGGTTGGGAGTGTTTGGAGGGCCTCTCGGAGGCTTCTTGGGGGCTTGCTCGGGCCCTGTTTGGGCGTGGGCCTTCTTGGCGCCTCTTGGGGGCTTGCTGGCGGTCTCGCGGGTCATCCTGGGGCTCGAAGCGACGCTCCGCGCTCCCCCCTCTGGGCCCTCTCTGGGGCCCCTCCCTGGGCCATCTTCGAGTCGCCCTGGGCCGTCCTGGGCCGCCTTGGGGGCGTCTTGGAGCGCCGGGGGCCCGGAGAGGCGCCCGGCGAGTCGCTGGCGCCCCACGGCGGCTCTGAGGGGCGGCGGCGGGCTCGGTCGCACGTCGTCCGCCACCTCGGACGGGCGGCGCCCGGGCCAGGCCTCCCCCCCGCCGCGGCGCGGAGGTCCCCGGGCGAGTTTGGGGCAGCCGGGGCCGCCTCGAGCCCAGACCCCCTCGAGTAATGAAAAAATCACGACGGGAGGTTTTTCGCCATTTTCGGCCTCTGGGGGCCCTCACCGGGCCTCGGGGCCGTCAAAAAACGACTCAGGACGAAGAACCGGTCCCGGGGAAAGGGTCGAGAACTCTGGGGTCGACGTCATGAAAAATTCATGACGTCGGGGGTCTGGGTCTCGAGGCCGTTCTGGGCGGCCTCGGGGCCCTTTTGGGGCTGCCCCCCGCCGGGCCCCGCCTGCGGGCGCCTGCCAGGGAGCGCCCCGGGGCCGACGGCGGGGCCCTCTGGGGCCGTCTTTGGGGCTCCTCAGCTCCTGGCCCGCCTCGGCCCTCTCCCCCCCCCCTGGTGGGGCGTCCGAGCGAGGCGCGCGGGGAAACGGAAGGCGAGGAGCGCGAGGGGCTCGGAGGCAGACCCGCAGGTGAGCAGCCAGTCCTGGGGAAGGGCTCCAGGCCTCTGAGGGTCGGCGCTGTGAGCAAAAGAGTCACGAGGTTGGGGGTCTGGGTTGATTGGCATCTCTTCCGCGGCGGCAGGCGGCGGAAGGTCGGCGGGAGGCGGCGGAAGTGGCACGAGGCCGCCTCCGCCGGCAGGAGCCGGCGGAGGGGTGGCGGGAGGCTGCGGAAGCAACAGTCGGTTGTTGCTAGAAGTGCCCCTGGACCAAGGTGACCCCAGGATTCTCGGGTTGGCCCAAGCGGCCTCCAAAGCACCCCTCACGAGGCCCAGAGGGCCCCAGGTGCTCCAAAATGGAGTGAAACGCTGGGGGCACCTTGGGCCAGGGGTAATTCTAGCAACACCCGAAAAAGATGCGCCTCCCAAGAGATAAAACCATGTCTGGGTGCAGGGTTACCGAAATCCCCCAGCTATCCGGCGGCTCTCGTTTCTTTTGCCAGCCCGCGGGTGCCGGAGGTCCCGACCATGGGGGACAGCTCCTAGACATATCCGGTGATGTTTTTGTTGCTCAACCGCGGTGGTGCTCACGAGTATAGCCTTTTCGAGAGCCTCTCTCGGGCCCAGGGCCATCGACAGTGAACCCGGGACGGAAGACAGTTCCTTTGTGGAAGGGTCGGGACCTCTGGGGCCGAGGACCGAGGAGAAAACTCATAGTCTGCTGTTTGGGTCTTCCGTCCCATAGATATATATAGGTCTATATACACATATATGTATGTATATGTTCGAAAGCTCCGGGGCCGAAGCCGACCACCTGAGGCCGGAATTGGGGGAAAGTGCCGGGACTGAAGCACACACATGCACACACACACACACACACACACACACACGCATGCACACACATGCACGCGCACGCGCACGCGCACTTGCATGCGCACGCGCACCACGCGCACACGCACACGCACACGCCCACGCCCACGCCCACGCGCACCCAGACCCAGACCCAGACCCAGACCCAGACCCAGACCCAGACCCAGACCCAGACCCAGACCCGCACACACACACACACCACACACACACGCACACACACATACACACATACACACATACACACACCTACCCACACCCACACCCACACCCACACCCACACCCACACCCACACCCACTCCCACACCCACACCCACACCCACTCCCACACCCACACCCACACCCAGACCCGCACCCACACCCACGCCCGCCCGCACGCACGCATAGACGCACACACACACATACACTTACGCTTACACTCACGCTGACACTTGCACTTACACTTGCATTTGCACTTACACTTACACTTACAGCTACACTGACACATATATACACATGTACACATGTACACAGATACACATGTACACATACACACAACAAAACGAAACATCTTCTGATGCCCAGTGGCGAAATGTCGCCTCGAGCCTGGCGAGGCACGGCCGGGGCACCTTCAGCTTCCCGGACGGCGGGAAGTACAGCGGGCAGTGGGTGGAGGACACCGGTGCAATGCCAAGGGGGGCCACCACTGCGCAGGGATTGCGCCACCTCCTCGGGGGGATCGAGGCTGGAGGGCTCTCACATCCAGGCGTCGTGTAAGCGGTCCCGGCGGCCGGCTTTCCGATGCTTGTATCTTCGGCCTCCAGAGGTTGTTTCCCAGCCCAAGAAAAAAGGGCTCGAGATCCCTCGGGGCCCGAGTCGCGGAGGCGCGGCAACGTCGGAGGAGAGGGGGAGAGGAGGAGCATCGAGGATCGAGCACGTTTTTGGGTGGTTTGGGGAGGTTGTGTGGGGTCCTCCTCCCCCTCCTCAGGAGGAGGCGGAGACGCCCCAGGACCCCCAAGTCGGGGCCCCCAAGCATTTCAGAGCATCGCTGAGGCGGAGGAGGAGAAGGAGGAGGAGGACACCTCCGAGCCCCCCCTCTCCTGCCCCCCGGAACTTCCCCAGATGTTGAAACAAACCGAACGACTCGTCGGTCCTCGAACCTGTACCCTCAAGAGTGGCTGGCGGGCCCCCCAACACGAGTAGCCAGGTCCGCGCGGCGCCGGCGTGGCGGCGGGCCCGGGCACGGGCGCTCGCGGCCAACCCCACCGCTGCTGGCTTGGAAGCGGCCGACGTCGAAAGCTCTGCGCTGCCGGAGGGAAGACGAGAGACGCGATCGCTCAATTCGGCGGCGAACTCCGGACTCCGAGCCCTGCGCCCGCCGATCCACGATTCGGGCAGCTCGATGGGCGGCGGTGGGCTGGGTTCGGCATTCGTGGAGCACGTGGTGAGATTTGAACCCTACCCCCCCGCCTCCCATCGATCCAGGAGACTCGATGG